TACTCAGGAGGCTGAGGCAGGAGAATTGCCTCCTGAGTAGCTGGGATTACAGGCACGCGCCACCATGCCCAGCTAATGTTTTGTATTTTTAGTAGAGACGGGGTTTCACCATGTTGACCAGGATGGTCTCGATCTCTTGACCTCGTGATCCACCCACCTCGGCCTCCCAAAGTGCTGGGATTACAGGCTTGAGCCACCGCGCCCGGCCCACTCTGGCTATTAATCTGTCTTAGGAGATGCATAGCTGGTTGTTCTGATTGTTATATACCTAGCAGTCTCTGGAGGAAAGAGAACTCAGACCTGGTCACTGAAAGCAAAATATTTATACAGACACAAAAATGGGAGTGGGCAGGAAGGGAGGGTTGTAACTGGAAAAAGTCAGACCAAAAGCAGTTTTGACAATTTAAATTTATTGTAACTGCCCAACAAAGGAAGTAGACTTGGAGGTTTATCTGCAAGAGTGTTTTTTTTTTTTCTCTAACTCTTAACTCATTATTATTTATTTATTTTTATTTTTTGAGACAGTCTCGTTCTGTCACTGAGCCTGGAGTATAGTGGTGTGATCTCTGCTCACTGTAACCTCCACTTCCCCAGTTCAAGCAATTTCTCCTGCCTCAGCCTCCTGAATAGTTGGGATACAGGCACCCATCAACATGCCTGGCTAATTTTTGTAATTTTAGTAGAGATGGGGTTTCACCATGTTGGTCAGACTGGTCTCAAACTCCTGACTTCAGGTAATCCACTCACTTTAGCTTCCCAAAGTGCTGGGATTATAGGCATGAGCCACCGCACCCGGCCTTAATTCATTATTGCTAATATTTTTGAGACAGGGTCTTGCTGTGTTGCTCCAGCTGGAGGGCAATATCATGATCATAGATCACTGCAGCTTCAGCCTCCTGGGCTCAAGCAATCTTCCCGTCCCAGCCTCCTGAGTAGCTGGGACCACACGTGCATGCTACCATGCCCAGCTAGTTTTTTTAAAAAATTTCTTGTAGAGACAGGGTCTTGCATTGTTGCCCAGGCTGCTCTCAAATTCCTGGGATACAGCCATCCTCCGGCCTGGGCCTCCCGAAGTGCTGGGATTACAGGTGGGAGCCACCAGACCTGGCTTAGCTCCAGCTTTTAATGGAGAATGATAAGCAGGTTGAAAATGGTGGGGTGGGATTGGAGAAATGCACCATTGTAAAATAAACTTGGGCCCCATGTTGAGAGTCGCATGGTTATTCAGAAAAGGATCCAGTAATAGCATTAACCAAGGGAGAAAGATAAGCTGTGTGGGGAAAGGCCTAGTGATTCAGAGGAGTTGGAACTCTCAACCATCTCCATAGCTTGTCAGGAACATTTGCACAGGCCTCTGTAATAGATAGAGAAGGAGTCCGTCTACTGATAAAATGAGCGCTGGGTTTACCAACCCTAGGCCTCGGCTCACCTCCCTGATCCTCAGGGACGCACGGTGAGATGGACGCGTTATTGCCTCCATTAGGCGGACTGCGCTCTGCGCTTCCAGCGGTGGAGACATAGTCCGCTTCCACCTGGTGGACACATGCCGGAGGCTGGATTTGAACCAAGAGTTATCTGTGTACCCAACGCCTTTGCTTTTACCCACTAGGTGGTAACGTGATTTCACATCTGAGAGTTTCTTGGCTGAATAAGTTGGAAATTACTGGTTTGAGAGATTGGAAATCACCGGGTGCACTCCCCTAGATTCTTTCCCCAGCCACTCGAGGCCGTTGATGCTGGCCTCGACGTCTCTATCTACACAGCGCGCAGACACCACGTACCGGGCCCCACTCCCACCGTTCCAGCCTACCGGGCTCTCAGGCCTCCCACGGGCGGTGGGAAAAGAGCCTCCGGGCTGATTCTGCACGACGCGCATGGCTGCCAGGGGAAAGTATTGTCCTTAAATCCCGAGCGGCGCTGCGCGCAGGGGAGCGATCTCAGACCGCGGCGGAGCAAAGGTGATCCCCCGGGCCGGCCGCGTTCCAAGGCAAGCGCTAGTCCTGCGAGCAGAGTAGTCACTAAGAAGTCATTAGGAGATTGACAGGGGGAGTCCTCGGGATCCGGGTCCCGCCGTGCCTCACGCCTCCCTCCGGTTCCTTCCGCACCCCGGAGCGACGCGGACCCGGCTGGGGAGCCCGGGGGAGGGGACCGGGACGGGGTGGGCGCGCGTGCGCGAGCTGTCAGGCTGGCCCCGCCCCCGCGCCCCGCCCCTGCGCCCCTCCTCTCTCGCCCCTCCCCCGCTCTCGGGTGTAGGGCGGGCGGGCGCTGCGGCGGCCGCGGCTGCTGCTTCCTCGGGCCATTTTGCTGTGGCGCGGCGGGGAGGAGGAGTCGCCGAGAAGACCCCGGGCGAGGAGCTGCGAGCCAGAGGAGGCCGCGCGGGCTCCGGACTTTCCGCGGTCGCGGGGATCTCGGGGGGCAAGGGGATCGCCGTGGAAGGGGACCGGAGAGCCGCGCCCGCCGCGCGGAGCGCCCCTTCGCGGCCCCTGCACCATGAGCTGGGGCACCGAGCTCTGGGTAAGTGAGGGGCTGGGCCCGCGGGCAGATGCGGGGCGCGCGCTGCATTTCCCTGCGGCCTGGGGAGGGGGCGCGGACCGCGCTGCCGGGCGGAGGCTAGGGCGCGCTGGTTTGGGTCTCCGCGGCCTGGGGAGGAGGCGGGGTCCCCGTGCCCCTTGTCGGCCTTGGCCCGAGCGGGAGGTGCGGGCCGGTTCGTCCTTCGGAGGCGAGAGGAGTTGGTGCGGGTCCCCGGCGGCCTGAGGAGCGGCGCGGGCGGGCCTCCCTGTCCCCGGCGTCCCGGGGCGGGCGGTGTGTGTAGGGCAGAGCCCTAATCCCCCGGGGCGAGCCGCGGATGCCCGGGGAGGGCCGGGACCGGGCGTGGGGGCGTGGAGGCCCGGGCGGCGCGGCGCTGTGTTGGGTCTCTGGGCGCCCGGGCCGCGAGTTCTGTCCTGGCTCCGCGGAGGCGCTGGCGGACCGCGCGCTCCCCCGGGGGCGGGGCGGCCTGGGCGGGCTCCGGGGTTCAGGTTTTGGGGTGCCGGGGCGAGAGTGTGGTCTTGGCTCTGGAGGCGAGGACTTCTGGCCGGTGGCGACTCCGCGCGCACTTGTTCTCTCGGGGTAGCTCGGATCCTGAGTGGGATGTGGGCACTGCGACATCTGATCCGGAGGGGAAAGTAGTGGGAGTTGGGGAGAGATCTTAAGGGAGAGGCGTTCTCCGGGTCAGTGATCTTTAACGGTTGCTCGGAGGAAAGAGTTTCCAATGGGGAAGGTTGGCAGCGAGGGGCACTTCGCGGAGATGCTTGGTCGTGGGGGTGCGCACGGTAAACGGGCAGCCCTTGGGGCTGAGGGGGTGCAGGGTTTGCCAGGGCGGCGACCAGGGGGCCGGCTGTGGATGGAGCTCTTTCCCTGCCCTCCAAGGATTCCTGGGGAAATCACTGGGCAGGGGACGGGCAGCGAGGCGGCCCAGGAAGGAGCAGACGAAATCTCCCTTACTGCACCGAAATGCCCTCGAGATGAGCCATTTCCCAGACGAACTCTGAAGTGCCTCACTACCTTTTGGAATTCTATTTGCAAAGGGTGTGGAGGAGAAAGTGTAGGGTGGTGTTGCTGTCGAGATGAGGCCAAGAAATCTCATGTCAAAATAAAACAAGGTTAGAGCAATTACGGAAACAGAGCGCATCCTCCCTTAATTGTGTGTGTGTGTGTGTGCGCGCGCGCGTGTGCGCGCGCTCGTTTGCTTTAAGTGTTTTTACATAACCATTTGTTAGGTTCTGAAGCAGCTATGGTTGTTATTACCAAAATCCTGAGGGCAATAGCTCCTTCCTTTAAATTAAGATAATTCCTTTTATAAACATCTTCTGCCTAAAAGGAATTCATGACAGAATTTCCGCTGATGTTTACAAGTATCATTTTGAAAATAACATAGTTTCAAATATTTGCACACGCCGGTTTAGGCAAAAATCTACCACTTCGAGTGCTGTATTGAAGTTTCTCTCCTCTTCTAATCCTTCCACTCCCTTTAGCTGTCTTTAGCTTATCTGGGGTGGGGAAGCAAATCAGAAGTAATCTTTATCAAGACAGAAATTGTCGCACAATTTTTTTTTCACTTGTTCAAACAGGAGAATGAAATTAAGGAGGGAAAGGGTACAACATATTTCTGAGTGAAATAAGGACGGAACACGATATTCCGTGATGTTGGTGAATGGGACAGAAGATAATCTCAAAGAGAGGGAGTGGCTATGAGCAAAACTGCTAAAACAGCAGCAATTGCCTGCATTATTCTGTACATTTCTTTTTGAGGGTGGAAGAGTGGGAAGGAAGGCAGGGTTAGGAGTGGTTGAAAATAAATGAGAGAGGCGGGACACAGTGGCTCAGGCCTGAAATCCCAGCACCTTGGGAGGCCAAGTCGGGAGAATCACTTGAGCCCAGGAGTTAAAGAACAGCTTGGGCCGGGCGCGGTGGCTCACGCCTGTAATCCCAGCACTTTGGGAGGCCGAGGCGGGTGGATCACGAGGTCAAGAGATCGAGACCATCCTGGTCAACATGGTGAAACCCCGTCTCTACTAAAAATACAAAACATTAGCTGGGCATGGTGGCGCGTGCTTGTAATCCCAGCGACTCAGGAAGGTTGAGGCAGGAGAATTGCCTGAACCCGGGAGGCGGAGGTTGCAGTGAGCCGAGATCGTGCCATTGCACTCCAGCCTGGGTAACAAGAGCGAAACTCCGTCTCAAAAAAAAAAAAACAAAAACAAAAAGAAAATAAATGGGAACTGGGATATATACAAATAGAAATGATATGAAATTTTAGATTTGCTTCACAGTAATTTGGGTTGTTAGTAGATGGGAGATCGTGAAGCAGAGTTGGCCGTTACTGAAGCCAGATGCTTGGTACAGAAGGGTGCATTACACTATTCTTTGTACTATGTATATTTGAAATTTCCTACAATAAAAATTGGAAATTATTTTTAAAGAAGAAGAGTGTGAACTATTTGTAATTTTTTCTCTTGATAATTTTATGAGGAAGAGTGAATCAGTTAACAGTTCTGTATATGCAAGTGTATGGCAATGAGGAGTTTTAAAAGACTTTTTTTTTTGAGATGGAGTCTCACTCTGTCGCTCAGGCTGCTGTGCAGTGGCACTATCTTGGCTCACTGCAGCTTCTGCATCCTGGGTTCAAGCGATTCTCCTGCCACAGCCTCCCAAGTAACTGGAACTATAGGTGCCCACCACCATGTCTGGCTAATTTTTTTGTGTATTTAGTAGAGACAGGGTTTTGCCATATTGGCCAGGCTAGTCTCAAATTCCTGACCTCAGGTGATCCACTTGCCTCAGCCTCCCAAAGTGCTGGGATTACAGGCATGAGCCACCATGCCTGGCCTTGAAAAAAGACATGAGTACCAGCATTTGCCTTTGAGTAGCTTATAGTTTAATATAGGGAAAGGAATGAACACATGATTGCACTCCTAAGAGAAATGCAAAATTGAAGTTTTCAGGTGAAATGCAAAGATGCATAAGGCCTAGTAGCTTTTAAGATTAAAAAAACTAGAATAATGAAAGATGAAAAGTAAGCCCAGTTTCTCCAGTGGTCAGAGACTTGGTGATGTGCGGTGCATGGGTAGCCCAGTGGAGGGCAGTGATTAAGGGTTTTCCTTGAATGGTGGCTTTGGAATCATGCACATGTATAATGAGATAATGATGGGGCGCTAAAGCCGAGCTTGGCAGAATTCTTCTTCTAGATGGAGAAAGACAGAGCTATGGTTTGGGTGGTCATGAGTTATTTGTAACAGGTGGTTGCAGCTTTCAGGGACCTTCACAAATACTATTAGATTTTACATACCTTTTAGGACTTCAGGTTAACGGCAACGTAGACTTTTACAAGCTAAAGATTTCTAATGTGCATTTTACATTAAAGGCCTACTCCTAAGCCACATCCTGCTTTGTAGAGGGAGTACAACCTTTCTCTTCCTCTTTCTTTTTCACTTTTTTTTTTAACCCCTCCATAGAAATAAACTTTCTTCTTCTTCTTCTTCTTTTTTTTTTTATTTTTTTGAGATAGACTTTTGCTCTTGTTGCCCAGGCTGGTGTGATCTCACTGCAACTTCCACCTCCTGGGTTCTAGCGATTCTCCTGCCTCAGCCTCCCAAGCAGCTGGGACTACAGCTGTGCGCCACCATGCCTGGCTAATTTTTTTTTATTTTTAGTAGAGATAGGTTTTTATCAGGTTGACCAGGGTGGTCTCAAAATCCTGACCTCAGGTGATCTGCCCACCTTGGCATCCCAAAGTGCTGGGATTACAGGCGTGAGGCACCTCTCCCAGGCTTAAATGGCCATTTTGAAGTGATTAGGTTACAGTAAAATAGTTTACAGCTCTTTATAACATTGCCTTTTAATGAATTTTCAAAATTTTTATTGAACAACTACTGTGTGCAGGACACCAGCCTGAATCTATTGTAAGTCACATTGCATACATTGAAAGATAGCTATGTGGAAACTTATGTAGTAGGTTTTACCTCTAGCCTGTAACATCAGAGTCAAAAGAAAAAATTAATGTTTTTATGTAAGATTAACCAGAATACATTTACTCAAGACTTGTTAAAAAGGCAGTGTTAGTAAGGTAAATATGTTCACTGACTTGTTGAAGTTGTGGCTGGTTGGGGGAGAAATGGCAAAGCAAGAGTTGCTTACATTTGGATTTTTTTCCTTGCCTACTTATTGAGGGAAGTGACAGGTTACTGAAGTGTTAGTTCAGCTTTTTATTAGCTTGCTCATTAGTGTGAAGCATGAATAAATCCACTGGAAAGTTAAGCCTGCCTCATAATTATTCTACTCTTTGCAGCTAACAAATTATTCAGTGACAGAACCTGGTTTTGCTGTCTCCTAGTACCCTCTCTGTCATCTTTATTAATTTGCTCTGGTGCTAATGAGAAATGAAGTAGATACAAGGAAGAGAACAGCGAAACGTGAGTGATGCGTATTGGTTAGCATAGTAAGAAGCCACCTGTGTTGATTGTATGTAATTTTTTTTACCTGTGATTTTTAGAACCATGCCAGGCATATAATGTACATTCAGCTGTTGGATACATTGGCATTGATCGTGGTGTGCACTTTCAAGAGGCAGCCGCGTGAGGACTGTCTACCAACTGTACTGGAAATAATGCCTGACTCAGTGTAGGAGTTTAGTAAATATTTATTGGACAAATGAATAAATCCCTTTTTTTCCTTTTGTTTTAACATTTGCTTTTTAGAAATAATGGGAAGATAATCATAACACCTTTCTGAACTTTGGCACTTGTGAAAAATATATAATTCTAGGTATGTTTTTGGAAAATAGACTTTATCTTTTTAATTTTTTATTTTTAGAAACAAAGTTTTGTTCTTGTTGCCCAGGCTGGAGTGCAATGGTGTGATCTCGGCTCACTGCAACGTCTGTTCCCCCCAGTTTCAAGTGATTCTCCTGCCTCAGTCTCACGAGAGCTGGGATTACAGGCATGAGCCACCATGCCTGGCTAATTTTTTGTATTTTT